AAATGAACCCTTTGGGGAGCTGCTCTTTGTTAAAATTTAAGATACTATCTTTGAATGTTCAGCCCAGGGATGCCAAAGTTCAACTGCAGGGCAAAAACCAAGACCTTCAGAACAGAAGGGAAAACTGAAATTAGCCTAGAAATTAAATCCTCTGAATTACTGATCATTCATGTTGACCCCAAAAGCCAACTCTGCCTACATGAATTTTCTTCTTCTGACTTCCAAAATTAGGAGCCAAGAAAGAACAGTAATTAGCATCCTCTGTGACACTTAGTTTTGATGTTATTTAAACAATATATGTATTTGTAGTTCAATATTAAAGTGAGAAGAAAATATCCAGCTAAGTAGGCCTAAAGCAGAGTACAATATAAGGAAGACTCCCGGGTTTTTCCTGGGGATGATTAAAGGGACTGTCTTGCTGCTTTGATGGATTGGATGGCTTAGTTAATTCATTATTTGTATATGCTTATTTTCGCTGCTGGGTGGTCATCATTTGTGATTGTGAATTTAATTAATGGATAAGGGCCCAGAGTTTTTCCTGTGGGTATTTTTACTGTTTAAATAAATAGATGAAAATATATAGCAGAGTTTAACCCTGCAGATAACCTTTCATGTTGATATTTTTAATAACATGGCCTTAGAGTCAGGGTAAAGCCCATTCATTGAAACACTTCCGTTAGGGAATTTTATCTCTGAAGTTTATCACTTACATGAAAAAGTTCTTATCAAAATAAATGTCATAGTGTTTGTTATATTTAGCTAAATTAGAAATACTCTTGGACATTTGATGGTGTCACATGAGGCAGTGGCAGGGACTGCTGCTGTGACCAGACAACTGCTGTATGTTCATCAGTTGGCATTCCTACACCACAGTACCTGGCATTATAAAATGATAGGCCAAGACTTTCAATACAGTGGAAAATGAGGTTGTCCGATTAGCTTTTCTGAAAATAGGGTTATTTATTGCAGTGGTTCTCAACCTTTTTTGTACCAGGACCCATTTGTAAACATCACTGGCTAGTCCTGACCCAGTGCCCCTCACTCGTGACCCACTGCCCCCAGGCTCTAGTCCCCCAGTGTGTGGGGCCGGGGGTGGGTGTGTGTGGGCATGGGGGGCCCCAAGCAGCCCCTTGCAGGCTGGAACTCTGCCAGCCTGCTAGGGAAAAGCCACGATTTCCTATGTTTTTCTCCTTTAAAGGAGACTCCATTTTTTAAGTTTGTTGATACATCCTTTCTTATGTTTTTGTGACCCAATTTTGGGTCGTGACCCACAGGTTGAGAAACGCTGATTTATTGCATACCACCCAGCCTCATATCTGCTTTTTAAAAGTCCAAGGTATAGTGAGCCTGATGCTCCCTGATGTCAGGCTCGTGACCCTTCCACCCCCACCTTATGATTCTGGGGTCAGCGGGGCTGCTGGGTCAAGGACCTGGTGCTGCCCTCAGCCCAATCCCACTTTTTGGGGAAGGGACAGCTGTGTTCTGGACCCTGGAGCTGCCCACACCAGATCCCTACTCTCAGCTGAGCATTGGGATCTGTCATGGGTCAGCCCCAACATGCCACACATTCATTTTAAGGCATGAAACAAATGAGCCACAAAGATGTTACACATTATACGTAGAATATCTTTATGGAATATTTGCTATATTATCACACCATAAATTGGCTTTATCATGTGGCCAGATTAATGACATGATTATCACTTTAATTGTGTGCTTAATGTAATGTATGCCAGGGCCCTCAGTTACTACAAGGAAAGATCTTTTTTTTCTTCATTCTGTCTTTCAATAACAAGGTGCATATCTTATTTTAGGGCGCACTCTATTTGAGAAAATATGGTACAGCTATCTTCAAACATCTTTATGTAGTGCTAATAACACTAAACTCCACATTTGTATATAGTTTGCCAGGTCATTGCCCAACTGTGTTGTCTACTCTGGTGGATGTTCTAGCAGCAAAGCTGAACTACTAGGGCAGGCCATGATTCTTGGCCAGGAATTCCTTGAGAGGATGGTACAGGGTGCCATGCAGTGTTAGGATTGTTAGGTGTGCAAACATGATTCACAAAATAAACCCAAAGGATGTTGTCTTGAGCCTAATGAGTGGTTCCTGAAGGCTAAAAAGATTGAGAACCAATCTTGTGTGCTAGGGCATTGTTGGGAGCTCTAGCTGTAATCAACACTTGCAGGGCCTGTTCCCTTTGCATGCCTGTGGTCTGCTTTGGCTCTTGTCCTTTCCGTAAGTGAGTTCTGTCCATCTTTTCTGTGATGTATAAAAGAGTCATGAAGAATTTGCTGTAAAGTGTTTTTACATTATAATTTATACTACTGTGAAAGGGAAAGAAAGAG